TCTGACATCTACATTTTGATATTTCAAGGATCCATGATTTTATTGGTATAAGACTCTTTCTACTGACAGATCACCATCCTCTATATCACAATGTATGTTTCTTATGGTCTAAAACTTCTATCATCTAGTGGACAATCTGATGAGCTTCTCTGAAATGTAACAGGCTGATCTTGTACAACAGACATATAATATATACATAACTGGATTTGTATTCAAACTTTTTCCAGCCAAACAGGACCTGTTAGAAATTATCCTCTGTTGCCTTTGAACCCCCACGACCACTTCCATGGCATGATGAAGTATCATAATAGGATTTTAGAGGATGGTTTCAAATCCATAAACATCTAAAACCCATTATTAGTTGATTTTATATGTATACCCACATATAATAATATTAAAGAACAGTTGATTGCCTTAGATAACTTTTAAAAATGAATTAGATTTACAAATACCCAAGAGAAGTACCTCCTGGAAGCAATTTGTTTTTTCTTAGTATATTTCCAAATATCATCTGGATAGTTTTTATTGTTTTTAACAGTCACTCAAAGCTATTATATTAATAGCCATATCATCATCATCATCATCATCATCACAACTACTACCTAACAACCACCTCATTAATGGTGAGATTGTTTAAAGAGACACAAAGACTTGACTTGAGAGATGGTGACACGATGGGAAATATGGAAGCAGGAGAAAATATCAGTTGGGTTCCTTTCATCCCATCCTACAGCAATGTCTAAGAGAACAGGGGTGGGGAACCTGCAGCCTTGTGGCCACATGTGGCCCTCTAGGTCCTCAAGCATGGCCCTCTGACTGAATCCAAACTTCACAGAACAAATCCCCTTAATAAAATGATTTATTCTGTAAAATTTGGACTCAGTCAAAAGACCACACCCAAGGACTTAGAAGGCCAATGTGGCCTTGAGGCCACAGGTTCCCCAACCCTGGTCCAGAAGATGAGGAGTGGGAGTAGTGAGAGAATACCTGCTAAACAGTCCTTAATTCCCCTCGGGTAGTTTTAAAATATGTCAAATTATTATGGTGACAAAAGTGTCCGAAGGGCTATATAAAGGCACATAAAGTAAGATGGTAAACAGACTTAAGAGTAGAATAAGAAAACATGAGGAAAGGAAGGGAATAAGCATTTGTATAGTACCTACCAGTGTGCCAGGCACTAGGTTAAGCACTTTACAAACATTATTTCATTTGATTCTCATAACAATCTTGAAAGGTAATGCTATTATTATCTTCTACTCATAGTAGAGGAAACTGAAGAAGCAGAGGTAACGTGACTTACCTAGAGTCACACACACAGAGCTAATAAGTGTCTGAGGTCAGATCTGAGTAACCAGTAATTCCTTCATTTGGGGGAGCTTAAGAAATAACTGAATGCTCTCTTGTAGACATTTTCCTCCTTTAGCTAATAATGACCAGGTTTTACAATGAGTGTTAAATTTTTTCCAAGTCAAAATGAATCATCATGGCAAAATGCCATGCAGTGGATTTGGCTGAACCAGCATTACATCTTTTCTTACTAGTCATTTAAAGAGTAGATCAGAATGCTGTTAATCAACATTCAAAAAACAGGGGAGCTACTGTTTCTGATTGGATTTCTAGTTTTTTCTTTATTCATTTTGCTAAAAGTTCCATAACAGATGATGAAACTATGAATTTTTAAGGAGGATTATAGAAATACGGTCAAGGATTATAATAGTTTGACTTTATAAAGTATAAATTATCTAAATTTAAGAGCCTGAAATCTACCAAAAAAAAAATAAATCATAGCTGACAACATACTACTAAATATTGCTACCAAAAATTTATTAACAGAACAAATTGCTACTGAATGAAATCAACAATTAGTAACAATTGTTCCATGCATTCACTGGTAACAGTATCCTTGAAATAGATTTGGATTCATTGCCTATTTCCCTAAACAGAAAAATCTCAGCTAGAAATAATGTGGCTTCAAATCAGAACACCATGCTCTAGAAACTTGAGTCAGATACAAAGGTTATTTGCCTGCGGGGAAAAAAGACAATGCATCAAGATGAATGGAAATACTAAAATATAAAGAGCACACCTACCTCAAATCCTGAGCTTAACTCTAAAATCAGACTGATGGTAGGAACTCAATCCCCGCTCCCAAAAAGAAACGAAACCACACTGACCCTATTTCTTAGATACACTCTCCTATATAAACTCAGGATCTGAATTCCTGAGCTGAAATAGACCTTAGAGATCATCAAAATCAAGCTGCTTCTTTTACAAATGAACAAAGAAACCAAGACCTACAGAGGGGAAATGACTTGTTTAAGGCTACTCAGCAGTGTCCAGAATCTTATAACTTTCTTGATATTCGAAGTAGTTCATTAAGACTATCTGGACAAGTCTAATGGGGGGAAAAAATCTCTTGACTAGGATTAAAGCTCAAGAAAAACATCAAAATTTTTTTTTCATTCTTCTATTTTCCCCACCCCTTTGAAAAAAAAAGTTTGCTCAGTTTCTGGAATAACAAAAACAAAACAAAAACCAAACACAGAAGAAAAACAGTCCTTAGCAGCCCACACAAAAAGCTCCACTGGCACTATCTCCATCTCCATCTCTTAAAACAATTGCACCTTTTGTCATTTCTGGTGGAGGTACTGCTGCTGAAGAAGCCAAGACTTAGTAGAGAAAGCTAAGACGTGGAAAGAGGGAAGAAAATGCTCTCTTTGTTAATGAAAAGCCTTTTCCATTTAAAGTTTCAACATACACTATTAGAACAGTGAATGCACTTTTGTGAGCAACTGCAAAGTACACAATAAAGAATGGTTGCCTGTCAATTAAACAAACAGTCATTTGAAGATATCCCAAACCTTCACCTTTTTCCTGAAAAGAGGGAAATTCAGTATACATGGAATATTCCTACACTTCAATGAAAAATGTGCCTAAAAGGTACTATGTGAATAAAGCATATAAACTAATTTGAGCAATATGGATTAGTTTAACCACAATAGTAAAAGATCCCTAAGGTAAACATGTTTTTAGAAGCTACAAACTACTATAAGTTATCCTAACAAGCATTAAAACTAAGTGTTTGGGAAGACAATTTATTAAATTTCACAAATATTCCAGTGGGTTTATTTTCCTCCATGAAGCAATGCTTCCAGGCAGGTAAGGACAAGCCAGAGTTTCTGTTACCCAACAGCAGGCTCCTATGATAACCATGATTACAACACCCCTGTCAGAGGTGAACTTCCTGCTTAGCTATTTAAAAAAAGGCAGTGCCTCACCCTTACTTATTCTTATTGTTGTTTTGAAATTAAGTTTCAGGTGAGAAAAAAAAATCTAATGCTGCATGCACCTGCTAATCCATAGGCCTTTCTTTATAAATAAATGAAAATGAGTAAGAAAATAAAAACAATAAAGGTAATGAGTAAAGCTTGTTTTTAGGTTGCATCTTGGAGAAAAAGGAAAATAAACAATCCATGATTCTAAGGGAATTGGGCAGAATCATCAAAATGATCCTTTCCAGTTCTGAAAAAATGATATCAAAAAGATGATCCATAAAATATATGAAATGTGGGGTAGGAGTGTCCCCCTCCACCTTTAGGAATTCATTCAGGCATTCTTAACCTGGGGCCATGGGCCCCCAAGAAGTCTATTGATAAATTTCAGGGATTTCATGAACTAGGATGGAAAAAATTATATTTTTATTTTTATTAACCTCTAACTAAAATTTATAATATCCTTTAATTATGAACACAGACAAAAACATTATTCAGAGAAGGGGTCCAAAGGCTTCTTCACCAAACTGCCAAAGGGGTCCTTGACATAAAAAAGGTTAAGAGCCCTTGATTTAGCTGGATATGAATGTAGCTGGATGTTTTCTGGACTGCAAACACAATATGAATCAGCAGTATGATGTGGCAGCCAGAAGGGCTAAGACAACATTAGGAAGCATCAACAGAAGCATGATGTCCAAAATAAGGGAAGTGATAAGACTACATATAAAGTACTGTGTTAAACTCTCAGCACTACATTAGGAAGGCCAATGACCAAGCTAGAAGATATGGATGGCATGATTATCAAATATGCAGATGACACAAAACTGGGAGGGACAGCTAACACACTGGGTTCACGATCAAAAAAAAAATCTTAAAAGGCTAGAGCATTAGGGTGAATCTAATAAGATTAAATTTAATAGGGATAAATGTTAAAAACTAGACTTGTGTTTAAAAATATCAACTTCACAAATACAAGATGGGGGGAATGGTCAGATAGTAGTTTCTGTGACAAAGATGGGGGGGATGCGGTTAGCGGACTGAAAGCTCAATCAGCAGTATGATATGGCAGCCAAAAGAACTAATGTAATCGGACCAAAATTAAGAGGCATAGCTTCCAGGAACCTCCTCAGGTGATGGTCCTGACTGTACTCTGCACTAATCAACTAAGGTTGGACTATAATGCTCACATGTGAGCCCCCCAGTTTGGGAAGGACATTGGAAGGTTGAAGAATATTCAACGGGCAAGCAGGATGGTTAACGGCCTTGAGTCCCTGTCACAGAAGACCAGCTGAAGAAAACGAAGATGTTTAGCCTGAAGAAGAGAAAACTTAAGGGGGACAAGAAAGCTATCTTCCTTTACCTAAAGGGCTGTCCTTCCTGTGTGAGAGAGAATAGATTTGTCCTGGGTTTTAGGAGCAACACTATGAAGTTGCAAAGGGACAAATTTAGGCTTAATGACAAGAAAACTTCCTAGCAATTGGAGTTATTCAAAAGTGGAACAGGCTGCCTCTGGAAATAGTGCTGATGAAGCATCTGGATAACTACTTGGCAGTCATATCATAACAGGGATTCCTTTTTGGATATGGATTGGACCAAATGGTTATTAAGGCTGCTTACAACTAAAAATTCTGTAATTCTGTGAATGGAAAATACAGTGAGAGATCTGGAAACCCTCATGGGGACTACACAAAAGAATTAAGAATGTTTAGGTTGGAGAAGAGACTCAGATGCGGTGATTCAGGTTAGTCATGGGTGATAAGATCGCCATCTTCAAACATCTGAAGGACTGTCGTATATGAGAGGGATTGGATTTCTTTGGTTTGGCTCCAGAGAATGGAACTGAGAGCAATGGAATGGAAGTTGTGAAAGGCAAATTTCATCTCAATACAAGGTAAAGCTTCTTAATGGTCAGAGCTATCCAAAAAAGGAACAAGCCTGCTATAAGAGGCAGCAAGTTTGCTATCACTGGAAGTCTTTAAAAAGATTGAATGATAACTAGTCAGTGACATTAGAGAGGACAATGGATTGGGTATGGTTTAGAACAAAGAAATTCTGAGGTCTGAGATGCTATGATTCTATAGAAAAGATTTTAATGGTCATAAGCTTACTGTATAGCACCAAGAAATAACTTCTGTTCTCAAAACAGTGTCTTCAGGGAATATATTGTACAGTGGTCATTGATTTGGAGATATATCATTATTTTAGGAATGTTTGCTCATGTGTGAAGTGTGATAATTGTACAGACCTTACCAGAAGTCAAGAACTAGGTACCAATGGTAGACTGCATATGGTATCAGCACGCAAATTAAACATTAGATTTTAAGTTGTTTTAACCACTGGATCAAGCCTGGGAAACACTCATCTATGTGTATGGTTCTTTATTTAAAGATTCATGAGCTCTTAGTAAAGCTATTTTCATGCTGACTTCCCCATTAGATTGTGAGTTCTTTGAAAGCAAGATCTGTCTTTTGCTTCTCTTTGTATTCTCAGTGTTTAGCACAGTGCCTAGCACATGGCAGGTACTTAACAAATGCTTATTGACAGACTGAAATTGTTTTTCTTTCTGCTGTCTTTTGTTTTTATATCTCCTCTATTTCCAAATGCATACCTTTCCCCTCCATTCTTCAGAAAGCCATTGTTTATAATAGTGAAGAAAAAGAAGGAAAGAAAAAGCAGTTAAGTAAAACTAACCAAATATCAACCAAGTCTAACAGTATATACAGTGTTTCATAACTCATGTTCCCCAATGTTTGCAAAGAAAGAAGAGCTGACACTGTATTTCACACAGCTACAGGCAATTCTTATGGACCTGCCCTAATGGAAATAAGGGGTAAAATTCAAAAGTGTGTGTAACAGATAGGTTATTCATTTTGGTTCTGTTATGCATTTCATGTTTATTTCTTGAAGCACCTTGCCCATTACCTTTTGCTTAGTCTAGTGTAAAAATGTCACTGCACTCTCTCCTCAGGGCAATAAGGAGGCTGCAAAACTAGAGGGTGTTTGTCGCTGAAGAGAAAGTGGTCTGAGATTTAAAATGCTGCAGATAAATCACAAGACTGATAATTCACATAATGATCACTGAAGGCTTGGCATATTGATCTAAGGACTACACATAGAAAATGAGTCATAAAAGAAATATTAAGTCTCATACATACATTTTCTTACCTAAGAAACTAGTAAGACACTAGCAGTTTTAATACAATACATAAGTCAAGTACAACCTATATATGTAAGGAATCCCCAGAAAGCAGCCAATGAACAATCTTGCACGTGAAGTGACAAAACTGTATCATTATATAAGAAATATTACTTTTGACAATGGTATGAAGAATGGATTAATAACTCACATTGAAGTTTGTGAAGGGATTTCCTCATAAAACTCTATGAAATTTGTCAAGTAAGCATTATCCTTATTTTATAGATAAAGAAACTGACACTCTGAGAAGTTAAATAATTTGCCTATTCTCGTATGCCTAGTAACTGAAGAAAGACTGAAAAAAGACCCAGATCTCCTGACTCCATGCTGCTTCTTGAAAAAGGAGTGATCTGTAAAGGATTTATTGCAATAGCCCATGTCTTGGGAAACAGTAAGTAATAATTAATAGTTTTCATTATCTAACATTAGTCATACCCCTATCTTATGTTTTAAAATCTCCTTTCTTTTAAACATAGGATATGTCTTGGAACTTAGTAAAATAAAACATAAATGTTACTGAAATTCATTTTACAAAGGGCTAGGCATGTATTAAGATCGGAAGTAATCCAAAAGCTATCTATTACACAAGCCTTAACTTCAAATACTTCCCCCCAAAAGTTCAAGTCAAACTTTCTGAGCGCTTTTAAACCAATTCCATTCAGCTTGCATCAAAACACTTATTTAGCATCTAGTCCAGATTGAAGGCAAAAAGAGAAGGGGACAGGAAAGGATGAGATGGATAGACAGTGTCACAAAAGCAATGAACATGACTTGGACTGATTCGGGGAAATAATAAAGGAGAGAAGGGCCTGGTGTGATATGGTACACAGGGTCAGGAAGAGTCAAACACAACTGAACGACAACAACATATCCAGTAGTGTGTTAAGATACTATAGGTATACAAAAACATAAGATAGGCCCTCCTCTTCAAGGAGTAAACAATCTAGTTGAGAAGGTATGATACATACAAAATAGATCCATTCATATTCCATATACCGATAAGCTCCAAATTGTCCTAAATATACTATCCAAGTATTTTTCCTTATCTCTCTAGTCATCCTTTTTGGCTATTCTCCAGCTTCCAAACCACACAGTAAGAAAAAAGGAGGAGCCTTCCTCTATTAATCCACTCATCATCCCATCAATAGATTAATGGATCAATATCAACCCAGAGAAAGATCTACAAGGCTTTGCCCTCGGTCTTGTGCTATCCAACATATCAATCAATGACTTGGATAAAAGCACAGCTGACAAACGTATCAGCTTTGTAGATGATATAAAGTTGAGAAGAATAGTTAAGATAGTAACAGATTTGGAATCCAGACAAATCTCAACAAACTAGAATGACAGGCCAAATTTAATATTTTGAAATTTAATATAAAGTCATTGGGTTGAAAAAGAAAAACCAACAGTACAAGGTAGACAACAGTTCAAATGAAGACCAGTTTTTAGCACACTGTGCAAGCCCAATCAGACATTTAAAGACTTAAAACTGGAAGAGATTTTAGACTTTAAACCCATCACTCTCTGTTATTATAAATTAGAAACACTTAGTAACTTGCCTAAGGTACACATCTGGAGTATGAAGAAGAGTTGAGTTTTGAACCTAGAACCTTCCACTTCTCCTTCCATTGTCTTTATAAAAGTAAAAAAAATGAAAGCAAAGTACCAGTGCTATACTCTTCCCTGTTCAGACCACATCTGAAGTACTGAATGCAAAGAAAAAATTACTTGTACAAAGATACTTATAGCAGCATCATAAACAATATTGAAAAGTGGAAAAGACTTTAAAGTTAGTGGGTGGCTAAAGGAGTATGTATCAATAACAAAAAATACTATATGACCAAGGAGAATGAGATATAAAAAATTATTAAGAAGTATGGGGAAAAGTCTAAATAAGACAATGAAAAGTACAAAAATTCTATGTAAATATATACACAAACTATATCTACCTACATGAATATATAATTGATCAACAAGAATTTATTAAGTCTCTACTATGCACCAAGCATTGTGCTAAGGGCTGCAAATACAATGACAAAATTGAAATAATTCTTGTCTCTAAGGAGCTTACACAGGGTAGACAACATGTACATATATTTGTATACAGAATGTGTGTGTGTGTGTGTGTGTGTGTGTGTGTGTGTGTGTGTGTGTGTAAAGAAAGAGAGAGAACAGGAGGTAGTCTGGGGAAAGAAAACACTAACAACTGGGGGGGGCAAAGGAATGAGGGAAGATGAAAGGATTCATGCAGAAGGTATCACTTGAGCTAAGTTTTGAAGAAAACTAGGGATTTCAAAAAGTGGAGGTGAAGAAGGAAAGCATTCTAAGCATGATGGAGTCAGTGTAAAGACATAGGGATGGGAGACAGTGTCATGTGATGAGCAGCAAGCAGACCAGTACAGAGTTAGTGAAGCAAAGAAAAGTGTAAGAAGAATGGAAAAGTAGGGAGGGCCTATTAATGCTAAAAAAGAGTAATTTATATTTGGATCTTAAAAGTAATAAAGAGCCACTGGTGTTTATTGGGGATGGAAGTGGAAATATAGTTAGACTTACACTCTAGAAAAATTACTTTGGTGGCTATGTGGAAAATGGTTAGAATAGGAAGAAATTTGAGACAGAAGACGACAGTGTGATACTGCAATAGTCCAGGTGACAGGTGATGAGGGCCTAAACTAGGGCTGTGTGAGTAAGGAGAAGAGGATATATCCAAGAGATGTTACGGTCATAGAAATGACAAGATTTGACAATTAACTGGTTACATAGTATGAGAATAAGAAGTTGAGGATGCCACCAAGGTTATCAACCTTGGTAAATAAAAAGATAGTAGTGAATGGGTAGGGGAAGGGGTGGAGAGAGGGACAGAATTTGGAACTAAAAATAAAAATGATTTTTTAAAAAAAGGTTGTTGTGTCTTTGATAGTAGAGAGTAGTAATAATAGGATCATTCAGAGAGGTGGGTTGGAAAGAATGGAATGAGTTGTGTTTTAGACATGTAGAGTTTAAGATTCCTGTAAGACAGCCAGTTCAATCAAAAGAGGCTACAGATAGATTAATCTATAAACTGCAACCAATATCTGCATGTTTGTGTAGTTCTCACTGCAAAAATGATTAAAGACAAAATAAGAGGAAAAAAATTACCTTTAAAAATAGGCCAGGAAATCAAAACAAACCACCTTAATATAGCTCTTTCCAATGCATTATTCATCCACTTTCCCACAGTCTAGAAATGTCTACATTGAACCAATTTCTTCTGAAAAATCTTGTTATTTGGAATACCTTTTCTTGTTATCTAATTGTAAATGCTACTGAAACATTTTTTCTCTCACGCACCAGTTTTCAACACCTGACCCTGTAAATCCTTTTGGACACAGTTTGCAGAAAGGAAAAGAGGTTTTCTTAAACCAACATCAGTTAAAGAACCCTTAAAGAATAGTTGCCTTTCCTGGAGTCTGAACACTTTCCACTTTATCCGATGTTGTATATGTGGTATAGTAACCTGGGAATGAGGCCAGCATTGGCTACCAGACCTGTATGGCAACATTTTATTCTTTCCCCAAGACATAATCCCAGATTATTTGTTTCTATATAATTTTTTTTCACCCTTAATCTCTAAATAGAATTCTCATTTGCTTTTTCTCCTCCCTGACCCTTCCCATGGTTAATTTAGAAAACCCACAGCAAATGAGAAAACTGTATACTGGTAAGAAATTAACTCTAAAAACAGGTTTGTTACATTATATACTTCCCCATACATACTCCTGACTGTACAAAGTAAAAAATGGTTAAAGATCACATATTTCATTACTAAAGAGCACACTCATTATTAATAATGATTTTTTAAAATCAGACTGCAATTTTAAAAATATGGATAATTAATTAGCAACAAGAGAAAGTTTAAAGCAAAAACAATGTTTTGCCAACACTTCAAAATTTAAGAAAATCTAATGTTATATTTTTAATTTCCAACTGTAATTTAGTGAAATGTTTCTGTGGTAATATGACAGCAAGCGAAAATAAAATGACCCACTTAATTTGTTAATTTACAAAACCCAAGTCTCTGGAACAATACTTAAAATTAACTAAACATAAAAATGTCAGGGTGTGGAACAGTGAAGATTTAAAAGATAAAACACTGAGAACATTGTATTTTAAGCTAAAACCTCAAGTCATTTTTAGTGAGGCTACAAACACTGTAGATTAATGTGTTTTACAAGTTGCATTAAAAACAAATGCATTTCCTTTCAACACTGTCCATTGGAGGGCAGTACACATCATAACTAAAGGCTTAGGCTTAAGCTTATAGAATATTTAAACATGGAGTTTTCAATATTCCTTATTACATGCCACATACACAATCACTTAAAAATTCTGCAATACTGGGTCTACCACTATATGTAAGGATAAACAAAGATTACTCATTGAGAATAATCAGTGTCGTACTATGTATTTTGAGGATGGTTATGTCGCTGCCATCAAATGACTTTAAGATCATTCTCCCAACTTTCTCCAAGGGCTTTACGACCTGATTCAGGGTCATCCTCTTTGACCTACCTATCCTTTAAAGACCAATATAAATGTTACCGCCTCCATGAAACCTTTCCTTATTGTCCTGACCAAAAATGACTTTTCTCCTTAGATATTACATAGCACTTTGATTTTAACTTCCTGCACACTTATCACATAATACTGTGTATTATTGTTATGCTGGTGTCTTCTATCATTACTAGTCAAGGCAACTAAGTGACACTGTGGATAAGAACATGGGGCACTGGAGTTTAAAACCCACCTCAGACACTTATTAACTATGTGACCCCAGACAAGTCATTTTAACCTCTATTTACCTCAGTTTCCTCAACTGTAAAATGAGGATAATAATAGTATCTACCTTCCCACAGTTGTTGTGAGGATCAAATAAGATAATATTTGTAGAGCAGCTGCCACAGAGTAGACACTTAATAAATGCTTATTTCCTTTCTTCCTTACTAGACTATAAGCCTAGTGAGGGGAGGGGACATCTTATCTGAACTTTGTATTTTCTCTGGCTCCCAGCACAATGCTCTTTATACCATGAACACTTGACAAAAATTTTCGGGTTACTGTTGTTATGTACAGTATGCACTAAAGTAAACTAAATTCCCTAATACAGTAGAAAATTACAGTATGCACTAAAGTAAACTAAATTCCCTAATACAGTAGACATCAGCACAAGAAACAATAGCATACCCTCAAAAATGATATAATGGAGGCCATTCTTCATTTATTATATGTAAATGAAATCCTCCTACCTTTGGGGATACATTTATGGAGGTCTTCCCAACTGGGGTTCACATTATCTTAAGCCTTCATCCTATTCTGGGTAACATGGGGGCTTAATGACCTTTAGCATGT